ATCCGATAAAATGATTCTCTTCGTTATTGAGCTGATCTCAGGCTGAGTGACGGAGAACTTGAAGTTGTCCGTTCCAGGATGCCAAGAAACCCCTAGAATCTTGGTGAGTGAGTCCTCTATGAATCGTTGTTCTTGAGAGGTGCTGTCAGGTTGAAGAGATGTGAGTAGAGCTGGGCTATTTGAGTGCCATTTGGCTAGCGGAAAGCCTCCTGACCGACAGAGCTGTGTCACCTGATGAGCGGTCCTGAGTAGCTCTTCATCTGAGTCAGCACCCCCGCAGATATCGTCAACATATCGTCCTTTCATGAGCGGTTCCACAGCGAGAGGATAGTTCGATCCTTCATCCTCAACGAGCTGATGAAGAACACGCATTGAGAGGAACGGAGCTGACCTAGTGCCATATGTGACCGTGGTGAGTTGATAGGTGGCGATATCTCCGTTTGAGTCGGTCCAGAGTATTTGTTGGAGTGGCCAATCTTCCGGATGTACCCGAATTTGACGAAACATCTTGGTTATGTCCGTCATGAAAATGAGCCGTTTCCGCCGAGAAAAGAGAAGTACATCCGAGATATCCTTCTGCAACTTCTCACCCGTGTGCATAATCTCGTTCAACGATTGTCCTGAGCTGGTCTTGTTGGAGCCGTTGAAAACAACTCTGAGCTTCGTTGTCTCACTGCTCGCCCTGAGAACTCCGTGATGAGGGAAGAAATATTCCGGAGGAGCGTCAGCCCGAGAAGAACACGGGGGGCCCGAAACCCTGAACCCTCCTGAAGCCAAGGCCTCATGTGCTAAGGTCATTTCGATGCCCGTGCCCCCCCCCCCATTGAACTGGCGCTGATGAGCTGATCTAGCGAGCTGTCCGGAGACTCGACGCATGTGGCCGAGCTCTTCATATTCCCTGAGGAAGTCCGTGTAGAGCTGACGATAAACCTCATCACGTGAGAGTTTCCTGAGCAGACGATGGAGGCAAGCGAGTGCAGACGATCGTGAATCTCCTAGCGAGGAAACTGGAGATTTGAGCGGTATCCGAACAATGTAGCGGCCAGATGCATCTCGTGAGTGGGTCCGTTGAAAGTGTTCTTCACACTGCGCTTCCTCCTCGTTGAGCTGAACCTCTGGTGTCCCAGGAATCTCTTTCTGGATCCAGAATTTGGTGAGCAGTTCATTGAGATCCTCGTTGGTGACCGTTAGATGAGAAGTTGCTACTTGAGTAGTATCAGGACCTTCCGTTGGTCCGAATACGATCCATCTAAGTCGCGTGAGCTGAGCCGATGGTGAGTTTGGTCCATTGGTGATGACTTGTGGTAAGATGAGCTGTCCATAGACATCAGCGCCAAGAAGGATGTCAATTGGTGCTGGTGTGAGAAAATCGGGATCAGCGAGCTGGAGTCCTTCCAGATGATCCCATGTGAGCTGACTTGGTGAGAATGTCGGTAATGAGGTTGTGAGCTGGCCGAGAGCATAGGCAGAAACTCTGAGCTGAAAGTGAGAGCAAGTGGACTGTATTGTGAGCCGAACCTTGCCTAATGCCGGCCCAGATGCCGTGTCTCCAATCCCCGATATTCGTAGCTGTGTCTTGAGCCTTAACAGCCCAAGCTGATGAACGAGCTGGTCTGATATGACGGAGATTTCCAACCCTGGATCGATGAGTAGACAAACCTGATGAGCTGGCTGATCTGGGCGTACCAAAAGCGCAAGGCTGGTAGCCAGAAGGACCCCAGGGCGGAAGTCTTGAGCGGATCCGGAATCTGAATGGTGATCTGAGCAGGAGACGGCAGTCTGAGCTGGTGATCGTCATTCCGACGACGTTGACTGGCCTTGGTCACCAGTCACCACCTTGGGGATGTCGTTTTCGTGGGTGTAGGTCACCACCGGAACGGCCTTTTGCTGGGTTGAGTTGGTCTGTTGCCTCTGCTGAGCTGGACGTTGAGGCTGACTCGATGGCTGGTTGTGGAGTATCGAGTGGTGGAGGCCTCCGCAATACTGGCACTTGGTCTTGGACCTGCAGTCCCTCACCGAGTGCCGACCAAGGCAATTGTAGCAGAGGTAGCGACGCTCTACTACCTCCCTACGAGCTGATACCGAAAGCTGACAGAAGGATGAGCAGGATGTGAGGTAATGATCTGCCTCACACATCGAGCACGGGTACGTGACCTTCCCCGATGGAGCGGACTTGAGAGCTGGCCTCGATTTTTGTGGTGGTTGAGCGGTGCCGTGGTGAACCTTCGCAGCGGTCGACTGCTTGGATGAGCTGACATTGGAGGGCTTTGTGGCAGGAGCACGAGGAGCCGAGTTAATCTCGATGCTCTCCATCGCGCGAGCTCTCCCAGTGAGGAAATCCTTGAAGTCCTTGTATGAAGGATACTCCGCCAATGAACCGANGCCGACCTTGACCTCCCAGACTTCACGAAGCTTTGAGCTGAGCTGTTGCGAGACCGTATGTACGATCACCTGGTCCCACTGGGAGGTTGGAGAGCCAAGAGCCTCCAGAGCGTTAAGTGCCTCAGAGATGACAGTGAGTAGGGCATTGAGCTCTTTGGCACTGTGAGAAGTCATGGTTGGGGGACTGAGGAGCTGTTCCAAATGAGCTGAAATGAGCAGTCGCTTATTCTCGTAGCGAGACAAGAGCAGTTCCCATGCAATCGAGAATGACTCATCCGAGATCGTAAGATTCGCGATGCGTTGAGCTGGCTCCCCTGAGAGACTAGTACGAAGATAATGCATCTTCTCCACGTTGGATAGATCCGTATTCGAGCCGACCAGAGACGCGAAAAGATCGCGGAACGAGCGCCAGTCCGCATAGGCCCCTCCGAACTTGGGCAGAGAAATCTCAGGGAGATAACGCTTGGAGTATGTGGGCTGAGCCGTCCCAGACGCAAGAGACCGACGAGATGAACCTGAGCTCCCCCTTTTATCAATGAGCTGACTTAAAATACCCCTTGCCTCATGATAATGCCCGATAGTAATGTCGAACCGATTATCCTTGAAGTACGGCAATTCAAGGACCCCTTCGATCTTGCCGCTGCCAGCGATGAGCTTCTCATGAGTGCTCTCGAATTTTTCCCAGTAGGTCTCCAGGATCTCGAGTTTACCCTGGAGATTGGAGATTGTGAGGCTTTTCGCCTCTTCTGTGAGCAGCTCCTTGTAAACGCGTTCGATGAACGCTGCCCGAGAGTTATTCAGGCTAATGGTCGCCTCAAATGATGCCATAATTGAAAATAAGTGCGCAGCNCAGTAATAACACCGAAGAATCTTAATTTAGTAGGTAGCAGCAGTGAACGGTTCCGTTGAGCAGGCACGAGAATTTATTAAAATTCGAAAAAGTAAACTTAAAAAGTCGAAAACTTTTCGAGAGAGCGGTATCCCAAAAAAAAACCCAAAAACAAAATTGTGTTATCCAAAAAAACTCCGAAAAGTCAAGGTGCAATAAGCGGTTCAAGAAAAGCAGAGCCAAAGCTTGAAAGGTTGAGCTGTCACCGTAAAAAATAAGCGCAAGCACCAAAAACCCACGTAATTTCAAAAGATTCAAAAGGCAAAAAAAGAGAAAACAGCAAAAATTAATTTAATGCTACTTAGCAGAATGCCTTGAGTTGAGCTGGATCAGAGTCGGCATACTGCAGTTGACAAAAAGTCCAAAGTCCCGGGGATGAGCGGCTCCGAAAATTCAAATTTTCCCGCGGGATGATATTGCAGGTTCCCAGCGTGGGCGCTGAGTCAGGTCGGCACGTCCCTGATGAGTGCAGCTCCGGTGCGGGGCCCTCCTGATCCGTTGTGACGGCACTGCACTGGCGTCTTGACACTCTCGCGCAAATCACTCCGATACCGCGCAAAACCAATAAAACCGAAAAATATTCCACCGATCCGGCTCGAAGGACCAAAATGTTTGATGAGATGCCTGGATCGGGGAATTAATTGTGCGGATGGATGAGTTGGAGTCGGATTACGGGGAGTGGGATGAGTAGAACCAAGAAATGAGCGGAACACGTGCACGTGGTCACAAATTCACTGTATTTGTCTAAGTTATCTTCACAATAATTAAATGTCACTAATTGAGTCACTGATAACTGGAATTAATGAGCGGACCGAATTCTATGAAAAAATAATAACTGAGCTGACACAATGAGTTAATCCGAGTCACTAGAAAACGAGCAGTACAATAAGAGAAGTGCCTTTAACTAGTTCCCGGAAACGAATGAGAGAGAGTCACGGGCTTACAGGTGCCACGTGCCCTAATTCGGTGGTCACATGACCTAATTTAAATATAGATCAATAGGTAATAAAGAGCTGTCCAGGACGTGGCGCCTCAGGTGTCCGAATTAACAACCCCCGGTCATCTGAGGTGAGCGCGTCAGGTGTGCGTGAGTGGGGAGAGAATGGATGAGCCTCGCGTGTGTATGTGTGAGTGCCCTGTCAGCTGACAGGATTTCCAACATGCTCTCATGAGAAAATGACGGCACAACAATTGAAGAAAATCATGTAAATACTTTATGAAAATTGTGATGGTGGTAATTAAAATGTCATTATCGAATCATTTGTGTTTGTTGTTCATAATTTTATGTTGTGAGCCAATCCGCGCAGCCAGTTAAGAACGTTGTTGTAATGTTTGTGGTCAGCAAAAACATTCATAATTCATTCTTCACGTAGTCGATCAACTCATTTCTGTTTTGGTCGTGAATCTCCTCGTGTAATCGACTCGATTTCCGCTTCCACTGTCGTTTGTTCCCTCTTTAACTCTGCAATTATCGTGTAGATCTCTGTTTGGGAGCGTCTAACGAGAGGATTGATTCTTCGATGCCATGCCTCAACTTTGTTTTGAGTCCTTGGGAGATTGTGTTGAACCCGATCATGGACCAAGCATAGGGTCGGTAGAAATGGTGGGATTCCTCGTTTTTCTTTACCTCGTAGGAGTCTAACTATTTTGCCTTGTACGTAATTATCTTCGAAATACTTTTTTAGATCTTGTGCGTACTCCGGTAATACTTTCTTCAAGTCATCCCATGCGGGAGGTATTTCTTCAGGTTTCAAGAATGCCCCACCATTTGTCTTACTGTGATACTGAATTGCTCATCTGTTCCGTAGTTTTGACTTAAACCAAGTGTGTTTACTTTTCGATTGATGGACTGGCCGAGATGAAACAAACCACCACTATTAGTCGCATTTGGGAAATATTTTTGTATTGTTATTATTGGTGCTGGTTCGCAGTCGGTGATTATCACGGGTGGACTTAAGTCAATATCGTGTTGTTTGGCGTATTCAATTAATGCCTCGAATAAATATTCATAACAAAATTTAGATTTGGTGGACATCAGAGCATATACCGACGGGAGTGTGCGACTACGGGCTAGTGGCACTGCGGCAGCATGGATGGAATATAATTGTAAAAATATATTGGGGACTACGTCAAAGGTTCCATCCATAATCCAATATGGGGCTTCGCTCAATTTCCTCATGTTAGGCACTGTGGAGAATAATAATACTCTGTCTTGATTCACTTGCACGTCTTTGACTAGAAATAATTTATTGTTCATTGTTTTTCTATATTCTTCAGGGAGATTTAAATCATCGAGGGTCTGCGGTTCGGAATGATTGTTCTTTTTCATTCGCTTTGCTGATTGTTTCAGCGTATTCATACTTGGTAGATATGGTCGTGCAATTTGATTCATGTTGGCGGTTGCTTCTTGAACGATTTGCCCTATAGGCTTCATTGTGTCAGCGGCTTTCCTCTTGATCGCATGTTTCACCCATACCATATTGGTATGCCCCAAAAGTGGAGCATAATTATCCAACTTATTTCACAATATGCCAATATAAGTGGCACACATTGTGAAATACAAATATAATATTAAGCAATTACTAAACAATTGGGAATATACGTGCAATCATGTATGACGTATATTCGCAATTAAAAGTAAGCCAGTGGAACTCGCATCAGCAGTTTCCACTGGGCTCATTCGCATGGTGTTATCATTACACCATGCAGATATGAGGTAATGACCACGACGTCATGGGCTCTCGATCAAATAAATACTCGAGAGACTATTGTCTGGGGGCCAGTAACTCGATTCCTATTGCGGTTCACCTGATACCTTCCGTATCAGTCTGCACACTTGAATAGTATCTAAAAAGTAAGAAATTAAATAAAGAATATTATTATAGTATTCGTTCGCGAGTGTCTTAATCTTCCAAATTACCGAACCCAACCGCTCGGGACTCTAACATTTTGGTGGCAGCGTTATTTATTTTTGGAAGAGGATGGAGGCCTGATCAACCATCGTCTTATCGCGCAGCGACGAAGAAAAAGTAATATTCACAAATCTTTCCACCCGGGGGAAGACTGGCCGTTTCAACGCTTTCATCGAATTTCATTGGGAAATTGAGATGGCGACTTCAGGGAGGGATAATGGAAATCAGGAGGATTCTGAGTTCAACTCCCATACCATGTCAGCTCCTGGCGCAAGGAGGGCCTTGTTTGAGACCAGGGGTGAGGAGGGTAACGTTAATAATGTTAACTTACGTCCGGAATTTGTTCAGTCTGAACATTCTAGCATGCTAGCTGGGAATCATCGGATGAATGTACAAGCTGAGATTCACCAGCAGCAAAATGAGGTACCACTGGGGGGAGAAGCTGTAGCTGGACAAGGCACGCAGACTGCGCCTGACCCTGTCAACCCTTCGGTGAGTCACCGTCATCCTGTGCATGTTGAGCCACAGGTAGGCTTGAATGATATTGAGGATTATTCAGGGAGTGAATCAGGGAACCATGATGACTATTCTACACCATCGGGCGCCTTTGCCGGTGGGGGTGGATTCAAGGCAAGTTCAACGCATCATGGCGAAAATGTTCTCCAGGGGTCGAGATTGCGGAATGGTCCAGCCTATGACCGCCTGGTAGGGAGAATTCAGAGTCTCGAGGAGGCAAGGCTCAGGCTCCAGAGGGAAATGGACATCAGGGAGCAAAGGGTCGCCGAGGAGAAACAACGTCGGCTTGAGGCCGAAAAATAGAGGAATGAGTATAGAGTACTCGTAGAAGATGCTTATGAGGAGCAGATGAATCTTCGCAACCGAAGTTCGCATTCGGATCTTTTGGATTTAAAGGGCGCACTATATTTAATAAAAGTCTTTACTGGGGATGGCCCAGATAAATTGGATTGTTTCCTGGATTCCATAGCCAGCGCTAGGAGATTAATTCGTCCAGGGTTGGAAAATCAGCTTTTGGATGGAATTATGGGGAGTAAATTGGAGGGTGCGGCGCATAAACAATTGAAGCATCGCACAGTGAAAACATTCGAGCAATTGAAAAGTGAGTTGGAATCACTTTTTGGGAAGACTCGGAATGTCGTCGGACTACAAGCTGAGTTCAGCAAACTTCAACAGCGCGAGAATGAGGACGTTGGGAAATTCGTCCAACGCACGGAGGTCACGATGGATTATTTAAATGGTCTATTGGGTCTTCATCCGGAGCTCTCGCAGAGGGAAAAGGAAGCAGCTACAAAAGTCTTGGAAACCATGGCAAAATTGGTGTTTGAACAAGGTTTGCGGGGTCAACTACAAATTTTGGTGAGAGCAAATCATTATAAAACGCTCCATGACTCTTGCACTGGCGCAGTAGATCTGGAAAAAACAATTTCTGGAAATACTAAGG